TATATACATATATGTTATTCATATCTTCGTTGTGTATAGGACGCAAGCAGATTTTGACACCAGATTTTGGGGTAAAAAAAGTGCGTCTTATACATCGAACAACACGGTACTTAACTTACGAACAATATGAAATTTATTTAAGTAATAAATAAATCTAGTATCCCACAAATAGCTGTCGTCTCAAAACTTCATATCAATTGACCCGTGCAAGTCACGTTGTTTATATAGACTTTTTTAGGTCTTACCGCCCTCTTTTTCCGGTGGGTCAGCAGCAGGTTTATGGACTTACAACCCTAAAATCCGGGGTTCGATTTTCCGCGGCCGACAAAATGCGGATTTAGCTTTGTGTAGATTTGTACTAAAACAGATATATTGATAGTCCTCTGTTGATAAATACCACCATTAACAAATTTACGTAATTGGAAGAACAACGTGTGTGCGTGCGTGGGAAGCTTTTGAAACTTTATTAAATTATGCAAAAATGGAATTAAGAGCAGGGAAGTAGGGACGACGTCACCATATGCGTAAAGGGAAGGGTGGGTGTAGATAGTGCTATGCATTGGTTGTATTATACATTGCAAAGGGAAGGCATTTGGGGAATAGATCTGTCATCCCACAGAACCCCATCTCAGCTAGCAGTGTTTTTGTGTTGAGGTTTTGTATGTACATTTCTTCATTTCTTTATAGACGTTTAGAGTACTGGTACTGCCCCCTGTTGAGTTTTAATACTTGCTCCCAATATCCAAGTTTGCGAAGTGTCGCTATATCTTTTGTGTCTTCCTAAATAGGGTTTTCACTTTTGATCACACCATTCGGCTCAAAGTGTCTTTTGCACTAGAGGTATTTGGTGGGTATCATGTGTCGTGAAATATGTTTTCACACCCCCTTTGGTTTAGCCTCAAATCAGGTTCGTTTAGAATTCGATGTGCTTAACCTCTTACGCGAGTAGTCTACGCAGTCCAATTAACTGTTTTAACTACATTAAATACACATCAATGACTTTACGTTTTATAAACTTTGGGTATGCAAATACAAAATGCCACAAAAAAATGCTTCGTGCTCGAAGCACGATTATTCTCCCTAGTAAATAATTACATATTTATCCCCTCTAGTGATAAGTATACACCTCGATGATACTAATACTAACAAATAAGTAATTATATTTCGGCGTCAAGTATACAGCCAGTGGCACAGCGGTTTGTCTGCGAACTTACAACCCTAGAAACCGGATTTCGATACTCCTGGTGGGCAGATCACAGATAGCCCATTGTGTAGCTTTGTGCTTAACTTCAAATAAGCAAACAGTATACAGCCGACAAAAGAAGAAATGGGTAAAACGATTTTTTTTTTTTTACAAGTCGTTTCTGTTAAAATACAAATAAACGCAGTTGCGTATACAATAAAATTTTCTTAATAATAATGAAATAATTCTGTGAAAAGACTGCTGTTTGTTTGAATTTATAGGGATACGTGCACTCGAATGTAAGAGTAGATTTCGTAACGTTTTGTTTGGGCCAACTGAAATATTTACAATGAAATGCTGGGGAAAACCAGGACGAGTCTGTGTTTCTAAACATCGTAAAAGAACGATGACAGTTTTTGGTGTTACCTGGAACGTTGCTATTATGAATAAACACAGGGCACACGAGGGTCAAATCAAAGTCTTCGATAAAGATTTTTACTCCATATTAAAGACTATACTAACAAATTACGGGCCCTGTATTCTTGTTCAGGTGTTATAAAGATATATTTATATGTCCAAGTGATCATACATTTCCTGAAATCGGATAAAGCGTAATTTACGGTCCATTTAAAAATATTTTTATATAAGTATGGTTTTTGGATTCAATTCAGAGGTCTTGCAATGCACAAACACGTGCAAGCGAAACGTAGCACTTGACCACACATTTATCGTGTAACAATATCCAAAATTTGGATATAATGTATTAAGTCTGAATATCGTTAAACTATGCGTTATTCCAACATTGTCGAGCATGTGATTATTCGAAGAATCTTAACCACTTAGCAGTTTTACAAAACATTACTTATTAATTAAATAAATAATTTACAGCCATTACTACTTCACATGAAACACCATTCCATAAGTTATGGAGGAAATTTCGTGTCATTTTTAAAAATTATATTTCTATTGTTAAATGTATGAATTGAACGAAGTCCAAAATGCTAAAGGTTTAACATTCTCAGGTGGAATTTTCCTAGGTTCTTCGAGTTTCTGATGAGGAGGGGTGTTTTTCACATGAATGACATAGAACTACCTGATCACCGGAACGAGTTTTCAATTACTGAAAAAAACTTCGGGAT